GCCTAGGTAGTTTGTGACCTGGGGCTGGGAGTGACGACACCCGAGTTGACGGCGTTGCAGGTAACAATCCGGTGGTGGTGCTGACGTGGTATCAGACGCAGACCACGAGCAGATCGATCCCGAGTGAAGTGGCTTTTTATCAGTATTTTATGCAGTTTTTAGACTGATATTCATGCCACACTCACTCGATCTAGGCTGATTTTAAACTACACTCTTCATCAGAGCAACGATTTTAACAATCGGACGGGGATTTTAAGAGTTTTACCCTGTTGTACCCTGTCCGGGATGAGGAAAAACTCCTAGACTCTGTGACCACACTGGGCGCAGGTCCCCCTGTCAACGCGTCTGAGTTGGACTCCACCATCCCGCTGACAGACACTGCTCCGCCGGTTCCGGTGAGACCCGCGGATGCCTCTGTTTCCCAACCGGCTCCCGGCCCCGGAGGTGCTTCTGCCGCAGCCGGGCTGGCTGTCGCGGTTCCGCCGTCGCATCCCCAGCCCGTCGACCACTGGCACTCGCTGGGTGCTAAGCCCAAGCTCTTGCCTGCTACAGCACTGGATTTTACACCAAACCCGAGGCACAGAGCACTCAGCTCTACTCCACGGCATCAGCCCTGGCAGTCTGTGGCAGGTAGCAGGAGGGCACACAGAACCAGCCCGCAGCCCACCTGTGAACTCCAGCTGTCCAACAGGTACGAAGCCCTCAGCCTGCAGGATTTCCCTCCCCTGGGAGTGCGGTCCAGCTCGCCGCCGGGTCCTGTCCACCCAGCTGGCCGTGGCTCTGGTCAGCCAAGAGCCGGGGGCTGTGTGTTCAGCCCGGCCCCTCCTCTTCATCTGGGCCGGGAACAACCGCGGCCCGATGCCACCAACCCCGGGTCCCATCCCGCCAGCGGCGCAACTCCCGGCAGCCGGCGGTGCAGTGCGCCCCCTCTGTGCTGGTCGTCGGGACCTAGATGGTCAGGCACGTGAAGGTACACGGTGGCCGGACCTTCTGCCGCCTTGGAGCCCGCATCAAGGAGGTTGAGTCCTCTGCCCTCGAGATGTGTGCCCAACACAGCTCAGCCTCTACGCTGGTTCTGGATGCCGGGATCGGCGATATCAAAGACCAACAGTCTGAGACCCTCAAGCGCGACTTTACATCCATGGTGAACCACATGCTGGATACAGGGAAGCGACTTGTAATATCCGGCCCACTTCACCCGCCGCGTTATGGCGATGTCACCACCAGTCGCCTCCGCCAGCTGCACCTGTGGCTCAAGGGCTTCTGTCTGGGGAGAAGTATCCCATATGTGGACAATTTTATTGCTTTTTTAAACAGACCCCACCTCTTTAAATCAGACGGCCTTCACCCGAACCAAGAGGGGTCAAGGCTTAACAAACAAAATTTTTAAAAGATCCTCCATAACACCGGATAATGCCCTTTGTGAGGATTTTGCAGACCACTTCAGAAGAAAAATAAATGACATTCGATCCAGTCTTTTATCCCGACAGCTTTTAACACCTGGATCACCGAGTTTACCTGAGGAAGCACTGGAAAGTTTTGCCCTGGTTGATGCGAGGACACTTGGTCGAGTTTTCTCCCAGGTAAAGCCCATGACCTGCCTTTCAGACCCAATTCCCACACCGTCATTTAAAAAACTCTATGGATTTTTCGAGGAACAGCTGTTGTATTTGGTGAACTACTCTCTTCAGATGGGTGTCTTCCCCACCGCCTTTAAAACGGCAATGGTGAAGCCCCTTCTGAAGAAGAGTGATTTGGATCCCAATGTTTTAAATAACTACCGGCCTGTATCCAACCTACCATTTTTAGGTAAAGTTCTGGAAAAACTCGTTTTTAACCAAGTAAATGATTTTTTAAACTCAAAACATATTTTAGAGACCCATCAGTCTGGCTTTAGGAGGAACCACAGCACAGAGACAGCACTTCTGAAGATTTTAAATGACATCAGATGTGACTTAGATAACCACAAACTCACAGTGTTGGTTCTGCTGGATCTAACAGCCGCCTTTGATACAGTAGACCATCACATTTTATTAAATAGACTGCGGAATGTGGTTGGCCTCTCTGGTACTGTTCTTAAGTGGTTCACGTCCTACCTGACTGATCGAAATTTCTTTATAAGTATGGATACATGTTCCGCAAGGACCCATAAAATTATTATGGCCCCCGATTGTGGAACAGCCTCCCAGAGAGCCTCAGGGCTGCAGAGAATATTGATATTTTTAAAAAGAGGCTAAAGACTCATCTTTTTAATCAGGCTTTTAACTGACTAGTTTAACTCTTTTAATCCCTTTTATGCTCACTTTTATTGTTACACTATCCAACACTTTTTAGTACCGTTCTATTTTATACTTCAATCTATCAATATTATTATTATTACTATTTTTAGTGTGGCGTGTTTTACAGTGCACAGAATCATTTTATTTAGTGGGGTCTGTCTTAGCGATTACAGTTTTATTCCTTCAGTTTTAGTTTCTATACTTTTATGTCTTATTTTATTCTTTTAGTCCCTCAGTTTTTCCAGTGTTTCCTCCTGGGGGCTGCTTCACCGGGAGTGGGTTCTGGTCTGTTGGTGGGGGTGCCGTTCTGGGGACAGCTCTGGCCCGGGTGGAACCAGAGAGCTCTACACCTTGGTGTGGACCCTCCTATCTGCCCGGGCTGGTGGTCCCTGTGACGGCGCCCCCTGCAGCAATGGGCCGGGATGCCTCCCGGTCGACGTGGCCCCCAAAGGTAGCGTCTTCCTCACCTCAGATCTCAGTGCCCAGTCATGTCTCCTCACCATCAGCTGCTAACTGTGTAGGTGCGTGTGTATGTAAATTTGTGTGTGTGGGAATGTATGTCTATGTGCACGGGTGTGTGTATGGGTATAATTGTGCGGGTGGGAGGTTTGGGGTTTTCTTGGGGATTTTAATGTTTCATTTTCTTTTTATGCTTTGTAAGGCACTTTGTGTCACAACTTTGTAGGAAAAGTGCCATATAAATGAAATAAAGTTGAAGTTGAATAAGAAGGTTTGAATTATCAGGAAGATTTGAATCAACTTGAATAAACTCATTGAATGAATTGAATAATGCATGAATAATAATAAAAATTAAAAAAAAGAAAATAAAAACGTTCAAAAACCCGGAAGTATGGGAAAGGCTTGAAGTATCAGAAAGGTTTGAATCAGTTTAAATGAGCTGAAATTTGTTTGAAAAATTTAAATAATGAATCACTAATGAAAATGATTTAAAACGGGAAAATTAAAATGATTTAAAACCTGGAAGTATGACAGGTATGAAAATTAAGAAAGGTTTGAATCAGTTAAAATGAGTTGGAATTAGTTTGAAGAATTTGATAATGCATGAATAGGGTAAATGATTAAAACAGGTAAAATTAAAATGATCATAATCTGGAAGTATGAGAGGTTTGAAGATTCAGAAAGGTTTGAATCAGTTTGAATGAGTTTAAATGAGTTTAAAAAAATAAATAATGCATACTCAATGAGTGATTGAAAAATGGGGAAAATTCAAATTAATAAAAATCCTGATTAGACCCCATAATATCCACAAGTCCCGGCTGAACACGTTGATACAACTTCTGTGATGTCTTCAATGTTATCACTAGGACAAGTTACATGCCAAGTTTGTGTGTAGTCTGAAAATCCTCCGCAGGATTCAACCGACGTGTCTGTGCGTTACATGACGGTGGGAAATTTTAATTCTTAAATCGTCACGTAGGAATCATCTATCATATATTTGCATAATATTTGCCCCTTACACACACACACACACACACACACACACACACACACACACACACACACACACACACACACACAGAGCGAGAGAGAAACATAAAAACGTCTCTCTGTCGAAATTCCAACTGTCCCTGAATGCACCTAGACTACCAACAGTGGACGTCACACTGTTTAATTACTTCTGACTCCTGACTTTGAGGTAAGTGGCTGCATCTCTTTCACTTCTCCCCCAAATAATGTTTAATTCGCCGGTTTAGCACACCGGGGCTGTGTCCGAAATGGCATACTGCCTACTATCTACTTACCTACTCAAGCAGTAGCTACTGCCTACTGACTCCTCAAAGATGATTTGAGTATGCCGCGGCTGCCCGAGCGTTTACACACATACATACTAAATACCCCAGAATGCATTTCGTGCCGGCCGGAAACAGCGCCGGGAAAATTTAAATAGTCCTACCGCACGCTTCAAAAACGACTGCATACCGGACAGACTGTATAAATTCAATCAGAGAAAGTAAGTGTTTACATCACGATTATGGGCCCAGTTGTTTGAAAAGCGGCTGTTTGTAAATTTGTCTCGGCGTTTTCGGAGACCGAAGCGTCCGCTTGGTGGGTGTTTGCGTCTACATGCCGTAAATACTGGGCAGCAGCAGCTCCCCCTTCACGTTTCCAAATTATTGCGAAGTGTTTTCATAATCAACAGCGACGCGACTCAAACTAAGCGGCAGTGGATTCATAAAAATTACACAAACATCTGTGTATCCATGGTGATAATGCTATACACCACCTGCTGGGCGTGTGATGAGCAGCAGAGGGCTGCAAAATGACCAACACACAACATAATTATTATGACCTTGTTCGGTTATTCCTTGGCAAATACATCATTTCCCGACTACATTCTTCTCATGTACAATGATAATTTCAGAAACCATCGGGTCGTTCTGCCTGGCGTAGGCTGACAACCATGGAACGCCGCCATGCAAGGAGACGAAGGCGTCTTTTCTTCAGGGCAGCTATGGACTTCTCTTCTCTCACTCTACTCTCCCTCTCTCTTTCCTCTCTCTCTCTCCTTTCTTCCATTGCTCTTCTGTCCATCCACTCTCTCCACTCTCTCTCTCTCCTTACCCATCTTTCTTCCATCTCTCTCTTTTCCTGCCTCTCCCTCTCCTCTGCCCGACGTTCCCGCTCCTCTGCCTGCCAAATCCTTTCATCCTCCCTCTCCTCAAACTCTTTAACCCACTCCTCAAACCACTCTCTGCTCTGTTAGTCGCTTGTTCTCCTCACTCTCACAGGAGGAGACTCAGAAGGGGGATTTGGAGGAGAGGCCACTGCTGCTGGTGTAATGGATGAGGTGATGAGGTTGGGCGGTGATATGGTGGGACGGTCCCTCATCACCTCATCCATGATATTAAACCATTTCCAGTTTGCAGCAGTGGCCTCTCCTCTCTCTGCGCTGACCCCCGTTGGTGGTGCCTTGAGAACCTGGCATATGACACACACACAAAGATAATCTGATAACATAGATCACTCTCACACTGACTGTTTGAACTCTGACATAGTCAGATTATATAGTAAAATTTAAAAACATAAGCATTCACTGTATTGATGCGAAACATAAATACTGAAGTGTTTGTCACACCTCCACCTACCTTATACTTCTGCTTTAGGTTTTCCCTTTTTTTGGGGGGAAAACTTGGGTCCACTTGGCCCTCCAGCCCATGCTCCTTGATGAAAGCCCTAAACAAGGATGACAAACAAGGGGCAATCAAAAGGGCATATGAACGTGGCAAGTGCCTACAAGCCACTCATATTATTCATATTATTTCTGCATAAGGCAGTAGCTTTTTTCCCATCTTGTAATAAACCCAACTCTCGTATTATGTTCTGTCGAGTGGTGGGGAGCGTTTGCGGCTCGTAGAATGCTGCTCTGATAACAATAAATCTAAAGGCCGACCTGGCCAGTTGAAGCGTGTATTTACAATAAATAAATCCACGGCGCATGAACAAAAATTTCTTACTCAAAACCCTTTAGGGCAGCGTTCCTTCTTCCCGTGAACAGGGCTTCGTTCTGTCCCCGCCACCGGATCAGCCGCTCAGTGTCCTCATCTGTCCCTGAAGGAAAACATAGCAGTATTTATAATGCGTCATCACGGGTCCACATTACCCTTTAGTTGCGGCTACGGCATACGCTAACGTGCTAACCAAATGGCAGGTTGACTGGTCGTCGAGCAGTGCATAAACTCAAACGTCAATACTACTATAATCTGCGCGGTTAAGTGCCACAATATAAAATTAAATAACTTACATTTATGAGCGCTTTTTTGCTCGTGCTTGACGCTGCTGCCGGCTGTCTCCATGTTGACTTTCGTTTTCTCACAGCAGAAGTCCGCAATGCATTGTGGGGCAGAAGCAGTACGTGAAGCAAGCTCCGTTGCACACTCAGAAATCGAAGCCGATTGAATATACATCCGGGCATTTCTCGCATACACAAAATTCGCATACTGTACAGTGTGAACGCACTGCCTACTCAATTCAGAGGCGGGGTTAGTAGGAGTAGTAGGAGTAGTAGGCCATTTCGGACACAGCCCGGGTCAGTGTTCAAATTCCCGGAAACTAATGGGATAAGTCTCATTTAGTTTTCACATTACAGAAAGCCGTAGCAAAGTCTGTGTGAGATTAATTACACCTGTTTCGCCAAAGCTAACTGTAATGAAACTTACAGCCGAAAAGCGTCTTTTATTTTTTCGCTCTTGTGTCGAATTTTTCGGATATTCGCAGGCGAATATCTGGATCTGCTAGACCTCTGGCCAATCAAAAGTCATGTTGTTGATGACGTCACAGACCCATACAGCTGGAGGAGAGGGAGAAGTTTGAGATTATGAAAACGCAGAGAAAGGCAGCTGAGGTGCATCCAAAACTCTTTCTAATTACCAATGAAGTAGTTTTCTCACAAGATGACACTCTCTTGTCTTCCTTAGGAGACAGGTGTCATGCACACTTCACAGGGTGACCGCTTCATCATGCCTGATTCTCCCTCTTAGCTGTTTGACATACCGATGATCTGCAGCTACAGGGCCAACAGAATGACCAGAGAAGTTGAAGGATCACTGCTCAGCCCTCGCCTCTCCTGGCTGCTGCGGCGTCTCTCACAGCTTTTCCTCCTCTTTCTCCCTCGCTCATAATGCTAGACATGTCAATCAGCAGCCGTTCACACGACACACACCACCACTGGCACCAAGAGCAACGATGGGAGAGAGGCTGGTAATTGCGGTACAGGACCACCCCGCATCTCCTCTCCTCCGTGCCGCAAAGCGACTTTATTAATTCGCTTTGCGAAATTTATACGCTATTCGCTTCGCGCCCGGTGTGTATAGGCGAAAGCGATTTTTCGGACCGGCGAATATTTTCGCATTTTCGTCTCGCTTTTTCGCTTCGCTCTGCAAATTTGCCGGTGTGTAAGGACCTAAACCGTTAATATATTTTCATGGTTGTATCAGCAATTAAGTGTCAGCTCTGAGCAAATTCTCAGATTTCCATAACACGAACATCCTTAGCAAGCGCAGTTGCCTCCTTTGCTCTCATGTTAATGTCTACCTTACTTATTGGTTAGTGACTTTAGCTGTTTAGTCAGCAATAGTGCTGATTTAGGTAAGTGCGCTTTTTAAGAGAGTGAAATGTCAATATCTGACATTAGTCAGCTCTTGGCTGTGTAGACCATTTTATGAGCAGCCTTTTTGACATGAAATGATCATTAAAACCACCCGTAGGTAATAATGTGTCAAAGGTACAGGGTCTTAATTAATAAAACTGTAACACCTGTGTCAGCTTCACACCAGAATGAATGCTGTGTGATCTGATCTGTTCAAATTATTAATAAAGTGAGAGTTCTTGTTTGTGGTGTAAACTGTGCAGGTGAAATGCATAATACATTGTACAGCTTAGAGCACACAAAATTTTTCATTTTTCAGTTGATCATTTGGGTATAAAAATTAACTCTGTGTGTGAGCGCTTCCTGCCCAAGGGCACATAAGGTCCCCTAGCATGCACAGCAATTCTGAAACCAAGCAGATTTATTTTTGAGAGAGAACCAGCTGCTTTGTCAAACTTGTACAATATCATAGCATATTAACCTGATTTGTAATATGTACTAAACCGAGCACCGCGCAGTCTTTACCTTGAAATAAGAGATGCAGAGAGCAGTTACTAGCCCATCATGTTTAATAGCATATGAGCTTGAGTTTAGGCTTCAAAAATGTCAACCTAGTCACATAGATGAACACAGCTAAATGTAGTAATTATTGTAAATCTCGTATGGTATGATTCTGCAAAAGGTAACGATGATTTTTCTTTTTTGTGGTCCTTGGTCTGCAGAAGAAGAGTACCAGTTTCCAGGTTCCAGTTTCCAGGTTCCAGTATATCATCCTGTTTGTCCCTCCCCCAACCCCCAACCCCTCTATCATCTGTCCTGCTCTGTCTGTTGTCTCTGCCTTCTTTCTCTCTCCCTAAGTTTAATCTCTCAGGTTGGTTGATACTCCCAACTTATTACAGTCGCTTGGTTGATACTCCCAAGCACCCCTTGCACGCGCCTGATTGATACTCCCAGGCACCCCTTTACGCTCTTGGTTGATACTCCCAAGCACCTTTGAAAAAACTCAATTGGTTGTTACTCCCAAGTATCTGCTGCCACCACAACTACCACTACCACTACTACTACTACAACTACGACTATTGCTACCACCACTTCTACTATCAGACTACGACTGATTGTTTCCAGGAACAATGCCACGCAAAGGAAAGATCCCTGGCCAAAAAGCTACACTGGCAGAAAGTGGCTGAGTCCCAAGTACCTGATCAACGGGTGGTGAGTCCTCTTCCTTACAGCAGCAGACAGGTAAATACCCCTGATTCTTCTCATGCAAATGTCACATGTGTGTTGGCTTCACGCAGTCAGGGGCATTATTCATACGCTGATTCAAAGAACAGTCAATGCTCCTGCAACTGTGCTACTTTCCTGGCATTTCTGCATGAGTTAGGACAACTCCACACTTCTGATCTTGATCTCATTTTAGACAGAGGCCATGTAATGTATACTCTAGCTCTCGGTCAGTTGAACGTTGAAGGTCAAAAAGTTGATATATTCTTAAACACAGATGAACTTCCACCAGTCCTTATTGGCAACAGACAACAGCACATAATGACAAGGTGTCAGTCAATCAGTGGCGTCTTTAAAGCTCCTACCTTGCTAAACAACAACCTTGCAGATGTACTTCAGTGCTTGTCTGCAGAGGTAAACTATGCGTTGTTGATAATGAGTTCAATGTACATTGCTGTTTTCCAAGACCGACACAGACGATATGGCTATTTTGACCCACACTCTCGACAGCCTGATGGCTTACCCTCTGGCTTTGGTTCTGGCACAGCTGTCGTCTTTATTTTCACACATTTAAGTGATCTGATCACAAAGCTTGTGACATTGTTCCGTGCAGTGGGCTCTGGTCCAAATGCTTCTTTTGAGCTGACACCTGTACAATTTCAGACTGTGGATGAGCTCTCAGGGGGAGAAAATTTGCCACATGTTGAGTCTAATGCAGATGTTGTTCCAGTAGCAGGGCAGCAAGAACTTCACATGTCCAGTCTACCCCGGGCTGAATCTGAGGTAACTTCCCCAATAAAATCTAATTGTATAACTATGCCAAATCTTTCTAAAAGTAATAAACAGGAAAGGATAAAATTAAAAAGAAGAGTTCTAAAGGGAGAGAAAAAAGTTGCAGTTGACAAAAATGCAAAACAGCGCGAACGTTATGCCAAAGACAAATCATACCAGCAATGTAAAAAGTCTTGGATAGTTGATCAGTACAGACAGGATCCAGAGTTCAAACAGAGAAGGAGGTCTTACTACAACCGTTACTGTGCTGATAATGTGGAGATAAAACAGCGACAAAGATCTTACCATAAAAAATGTTACCAAAGTGATGTAGAGTTCAAACAGAGACAAAGATCATACGTCAAAAACGGTTACCAAAGTGATGCAGAGTTCAAACAGAGACAAAGATTGTACATCAAAACCGTTACCAAAGTGATGCAGAGTTCAAACAGAGACAAATGTCCCACTTTAACCGCCGATACACAAATGATCTAGAGTTTAAGCAGAGAAAAATGTTGTACATAACAAACCGCTATTGCCAGGACTTTGCATTCAGAGCTAAACAAAGGCAGTATATCACAAAGCGTTATGCAAATGATCCTGCATTTAGAATGAGGCAAAAACAAACTATGAGACAGCTAATGAGAGACAAATACAGAAACAACCTTGTAACCAGACTGACCAACAGCATTCGATGTGCAATTAAGATTAGACAAAAATACAGACATATCAATAGACAGCAAATCAACATGGATGACAGTCAGATTAAAGAAGCCATAGAGTTTTTCAGATCACATGTAAAAGATGGACCCCGATATGTCTGCGCAGTTTGTCACAGAGCTCTGTTTCCGAATCAAGTGCGACCCTGCAATCGGTCAAAATATGACAAAGAGCCACGTGTTGTTGCAGCTTGCCTCACCGGTGCATATGTTCATGTTTGCAGTGATGAATGCGAAAATTTACAACAGTGCACCGTACCAGAGGAGCGAAAGAGAGAGTGGATTTGTTACACATGCCATGATCACCTTGAGGCTGGTGGGATGCCTCCCCTCGCAACGGCTAATAATTTACAGCTTGCTGATATACCAGATGAACTGTGGGATTTGAACATTTTGGAACGTCATCTCGTAGCTAAAAGCATACCGTTTGCTAAAATTATTCCACTTCCCAAAGGTCAACAAAGAGCTATTCGTGGAAATGTTGTGTGTGTTGCGTCTGAAGTACAAGAAACTGTAAATGCTTTGCCTAGACTAAGGAGTGAATCTCAGGTCCTGAGAGTGAAGCTGAAGAGACGACTGTGCTACAAAGGTCATCAGCTGTTCCAAACTGTGACCTGGCCAAAGCTAGTAAGAGCTCTGCTAAAACTGAAAGAAATCCATCCCCAGTACAAAGACATAACAATCAGAAATGAAGCTGAGTCATGTGACCCAACTCTTCCTGATGATGAAGACACTGACAGTGATGAGGATGACAGGATGGATGATGATGATTACGATGAGGAAGATTTGATGGAGATTGACCGTATTGAGAAAAATGCACTCTGTGAGGCAGAAAGCATTCCTGAAAACAACGAACAAGATATGGACAATCGGTCAGGTAATGATGGCTGTGAGCCAGAGAAATGGTCTGATAACATGGAGGGTGATGAACTGAACGGTGGTGTTGTCCTTGAATCATGTCTGCAGCCAAGTGATGTGTCGGAGGAGATTTTGAGTTTTAGTGAGGGAATCTACTCTGTTGCGCCCGCTGAAGGAAAAAAACCGGCAAGCTTTTTCAGAACACCTAAACTTGAGGCGATGGCTTTCCCAGTTCATTTTCCCACTGGCGAAAATACACTGGATGATAACAGGCCAATGAAATTAACACCCTGCAGTTATTTCAAAACGAGGCTTTGCTGTGTCGATGGCCGTTTCGCTAAAGATACTAACTACTTGTTCTTTGCTCAGTTTGTGACAGAAATACATACGGCCACTTCCAGCATGAGAATACAGTTGCGTGAAGGCAAACCTTTGACTCGAGATGGCCGCAAAATCACCAATGCCATGTTGCAAAACAAACGAGAAGTTGAAAGGCTAGTGCGGAACAAAGATGCAATACGATTCATGACACCGCTGAGAGGCACCCCGGCGTATTGGCAGAAAACAACCAAAGACTTGTTTGCGATGATTCTGGCTTTAGGCTCGCCACAGTTCTTCTTAACTTTCAGTGCTGCAGAAATGCGTTGGAAATGGGTTATCACAGCAATTAAAGCCCAGCAAGGTGAACACGTGAATTTTGAAGAGCTGGATTGGTCCTCCAAGTGTGAGATTTTGCGAAGTAATCCTGTCACCACAATGCGCATGTTTGACAAACGTGTCGAGGCTCTGTTCAGAGATCTGATCCTATCCCCCGCACAGCCTATCGGCAAAGTCGTCGACTACTTTTACCGGCTCGAATTTCAGCACAGAGGAAGCCCACACATTCACGGTATGGTATGGGTGGCAGGCGCACCTGTGTTTGGAGAATGCTCTGATGAGGAGGTGTGTAAGTTTGTGGCCAGATTCATCAAAGCTGAACTGCCCGATGAAAACGAGGACCCAGAACTGTACAAAATAGTCACAGAAGTTCAGATGCACAGCAAAAACCACTCCAAGACATGTGTGAAATACAGTGGTGCAAACTGTCGTTTCAGATTTCCCAAACAACCTGTCCCAAAAACCACAATAATTACACCAGGGGCAATTGTGGATGAAGCAACAGACCTGGCATTGACAGAAAAGCTTGCAACACTGAACAGGCTGCTTCATGAACCTACGACTGCATCGCTCAGCTTTGAACAGCTTTTGGCAAAATGTGAGTTCACCAACGAAGAATACCACAGGTGTTTGCAGAGCAAAACCAACGGCAGTCAAGTGATGCTGAAGCGTGGTCCCAAAGATGTTTGGGTAAATGGCTACAACCCCTACCTTCTGAAAGCCTGGAATGCCAACATGGATATCCAATTCATACTCAACCCATACTCCTGTATCATGTACATGTGCAGCTACATCAGCAAGGCGGAGCATGGTCTGAGTGAATATCTGAAAACGGTGATACAAAACTCACGTGAGGAAGATGTCAACGAAAGCGATGATGAAATGAAACAAATAATGCAGGCCTACTCCAAAAAAAGAGAGGCAAGCGCTCAGGAGTGTGTGGCTCGTGCATGCGGTCTACACATGAAGCAGTGTTCACGCAGCGTGGTGTTTGTGCAGACAGATGACAACGCACTGAAAATGAGTTACCCCTTCTCACACCTGGACAACAAACCTTCAGAATCCGAACAAGTGTGGATGACGGGGTTACCTGATAAGTATGTATGCAGACCAGAAACACCAGACTTTGAGGCAATGTGCTTGGCAGATTTTGCATCGAGCTGCAGAATAGTCTACGGCAAGCAGACAAAAGGCAAAAACACTCATCGCCTGCTGAATGTGATGGGGTTTGTCCAGAAGAGAGCAAATGATGAAAAACCTGCTGTCATTAAATATCGACCCATTTCCCTTGAGAAAGATCCAGAGCTGTATTATGGCACATTGCTTAAACTGTACATGCCTTATCGCTCAGAAAGCCAGCTGAAATCCAACCACTTCCCAACTTACCAGTCCGTCCATGACCATGCAGCTGTTTGGTTACCTGGATCACAGCATCCTGAGCGCGTGAAGGCAATTGTGAAACGCAACAGAGAAAAACATGAGAAACACTGTGAGGACATTGACAGTGCCATTCAAGAGTTTGAAGAAAGAGGAATGTTGCTAAATGAATGGGGCAACCTGTCGCCTGAGAGTGAGCTCGAACGGCTCGAGTGTTTAGATGAACTTAATGAAAGAGAAGCTGATGAATACGTGTAGGAGAATGTTCCAGACTACAATGTGAGGTCTGACGTGAGGCAAGAATCTGCAGTCACGATCGAAGCCCCTGAGATTGATCCCGCAGTGCTGCGTGAGATGTATCAGAACTTGAACCAAATGCAAGCTTCAGTTTTCCACACCATTCGGGACTGGTGCTTGAAATATGTTTGTGGTTTAAAACCAGAGCAGTTCTTCTTGTACATTAATGGTGGTGCCGGAACAGGTAAGTCTCACCTAATCAAATGCATCCATGCAGAGGCATCTAAAATACTCAGCAGACTTCCAAGAAATGCAGAGGAAGCAGAAATCTCTAAACCTACCGTTCTCTTGGCTGCATTCACTGGTACTGCAGTATTCAACATTTCAGGCACAACATTGCATTGTCTCTTGAAGCTGCCCAGAAGTCTCAAACCGCCTTTCCAAGGTCTTGGTAATAAACTTGATGAAGTCAGGGCAGAGCTTTCAAATGCAGAGATACTCATCATTAATGAAGTCTCCATGGTCTCCAAATATCTCTTTGCCTACGTGGACGCAAGACTGAAACAAATCAAAGGAAGTCAGAGACCTTTTGGTAGAATGTCAGTTCTCACTGTTGGAGATTTCTACCAGCTACCACCTGTCAGACAGTCGAAACCTCTGTGTGTGTTCGACCCGACTCAGATTGACCTCTGGCGTGACAACTTTCAGATGGTCACACTGACCGAAATCATGCGTCAGAAAGATGATGTCGCTTTTGCTGAGACGCTGAATCGAATCCGTGCCAAAGAAAAGACAGTGTCTTTGTCTGATGAAGACAGAGTTCTGCTTTCACGGGCCTTAGCTGACCTGGCTCAATGTCCAAAAGACGTACTGCATGTTTATGCAACAAATAAACAGGTTGAGGAACACAACTCAAAAACACTGGACATGTTTCACTCCGACGTCACCACAATAGACGCGGACGACTACAAAAAAGATCCAACCACCGGGAGAATGACGAGACAAGGGGTACCTTTCCAAGGAAACAAAAAGGAGTTGCCTGACTCGATAAAAGTGGCCATCGGCGCTAATGTCATGATAACCAGAAACATAAGTGTGCAGTCAGGTCTCTGTAATGGAACATTTGCACGCATTGCAAAAATAGTGACTAAAGAAGGAAATCCGCATGTTGAAAAACTCGGACTGAAACTGAACAGTCAAAGTGCAGCAGCTAGCGAAGCAGATGCTGATGAAAATATCATGTACATTGACAGAGACGAGGAGAATCTAAAACAGACAGGAGTTGTCAGAAGACAGTTTCCCATCAAGCTCATTTTTGCGTGTACAATACACAAAGTTCAAGGGATGACAACGTCTTCGGCCGTGGTCTCACTGAAACACATCTTTGAACCCGGCATGGCCTATGTTGCTCTGAGTAGAGTGACCTCTCTGAGTGGACTCCACATTCTAGACATGGATGAGAAGAAAATCTATTGCAACCCTGAAATCACCGTAGCTCTTGAAAAAAGTCTAACGCTTCACTTGAACATTAAGCAGGCCAGACACTCTCACTGTCATTCATCACAACACAGAAGGACTACCAGCTCATATCACCGACATCAAAAGTCACCATGAACTACATCTTGCAGACGTGCTCTGTCTCACTGAAACTCATCTGCGAGGATCCTTTGTTGCTGAGAGTCTCCGTCTTGAAGGCTACAACATGTTCAAACGTAACAGAAACGTGTCTTATTCAAACCATCCTGCCATGGCCACTAAAAACGGTGGTGGAGTTGCCATCTATGTGAAAGAACACATCAGAGTCCTTGAGAGACATTTCATTCAGAATGCCACTGATATTGAGTTCAGTGTCATCAAACTTGAAGCTCCTTTCAGGGCTCTTATTGCTGCTGTCTACAGGCCTCCTGACTACGATGTTCACTCATTCATATCCAACCTCAGAAGTCTCTTGGATTCACTGGAAGTCATGGATCATCCTCCCATCTTAGTCTGTCTTAATGAAGATTTGCTGTCAAGAGCAAGGAAGCCCATTCTTGAACTGTTTCAGTCGAGGTTATGAACAACTCCTAACTACTGCTACCACTGAGAAGAACACACTGCTTGACCCCATTTTTATCTCTTGCCCACAGTCCTGTATGCATTCTGGTGTGCTGCGGACATACTACAGTTACCACCATCCTGTCTACTGCGTGTTAACTTTAGAAACACCCTAAATAGAGCTGGCTGTTTTAAAATCGTGAACTTAGTGCTAAGTTAAGGGAAATAAATCATTGTGTCCATTACTGTCAGTTTACACATTGCGATTCAAAAGACTTTTGGTCATTGGTTTCCTAATCGATCACCTAATGAAATGTTATAATCATAGTATATTTTAAGATGAGGGGTCGTCCTCAGCAGCCAGGCTTTAACACCTGCTCTGGCTGCTCTAGCTTTTAAAGGCTGGGAGGGAGGGATGGACAAAAGAAAAACAGTCCTGCAGATACTTCTTAGTCACTGTACAATGTGAGATTAAAGACAACATGTAAAACTTTTATACTTTACTGAAAAATACAGTGAAGTAAAATGATGCAAAGGTTAGTACATTATTGATAGCATTTAAAAAAAAAATCAAAACTAACAGTGAGACAAATTGAAAATAAGCTAAAACAGCAATTTAAAAGAAATAATAAAAACTGCCACTGAAACTATTATGACCTAATGAAATATTATAAACATAGTATATTTTAAGATGAGGGGGTCGTCCTTAGCAGCCAGGTTTGAACACCTGCTCTGGCTGCTCTAGCTTTAACAGGCTGGGAGGGAGGGATGGACCGACGACCCCCTCCTATGCCAAATTATATAGAAACACATTTCTTCAAATACTTTAGTAGTTACTTTACACTGTATTAGAGTTGCCATCTATGTCCTGCCATTTACTTTGAGCAGTGGCAGGAAGGTCTGAGGATGCAATACTGCTCCTCATTTCTCTTGAATGACTTGGTGTGGGCGTAAGGTAAGAACAATATTGATCTTTCATATATACTAGCTGCAGGACTGTTCCATTTTAAATGTGAAAATACACGTTGTTTTACTGGATTTGTTTGGCTGAATCTGTCTGTTCATTTGTTTGAGTTTAGGCACCTGTACCCTGCAGACACCAAAGATGTGGGGTGATGACACCAGAACTCCAGCTCTGTGCTCAGTGTGTCCCAAGTACCTACCCTGGCGAGGGGAGAGACCATACCAAGAAGCTGTCACAACATTTCATCCTCAAAAAGCATCAGGTCAGCCTATGATTTTGATATCAAAACATTTGCACTCTGAGTTTGTTGCCTTTTACTGTTTGTGTTTGTTTCTGGTGGTCTACCAAAGGAGATAAGGATGAGCCTCTCTCAAAAGAACATCCATGGGTGAAACTTTTGTCTGACACTTGGTTGTATTCACACCTTCCCGGGCTGAGAAGTTCGTCACTAAGGCCCGAACTACACTTATATGGATATTTATTTATCAGGATATTTTTGTACTCCCGTCTAAATAAATGTATCTGTCCACACGTGTTAGTTCTCAAAAATATCTGCGTCCACACGTAGCCTTCAAACACAATCCTATCTGGTGCCGCTTAAAAAAAATTCAGGAACAAAGCTAACTGATTGGCCGATGAATCGTAACAGCGTGATGCGTCATGCATTGTTTGCAGAAGCTACGCCAGTGCGTCGGGTCCATGTGACGGACCATGTGACCAATAAAAGTATTGGCCGCAGCAGACGCATCTGTGAGCTGGCTGACTGGTGGATGTAATTGTATAAAACAAGGTTCACTGTCAAGGCTGAAATTAGCCCCAAAAGGGCAAAACAAACGTAAAGAATACCCTGTCTGTCAGCCATCGTTGTTGTTGTTTTTCTTTTTCTAATTTGCAAGCGCGAGCTGCGGTTTGACGTCATCGATCCGTAAAAGTCCAACCACACGAATCCACTACGGATACGGGATACGGATATATTTTTATTTCTCCACTTGTTTTTCCGGATTCAGATTTATCCGGTTTGAGTGCTCCAAACTCCCGTTTTGGTGTGGTAGGGAGGCCTAATCGGACATAAATATGTGCGGTTTGAAATATATCCGCATTCATGTAGTTCGGGCCTAAGTCTTTCACAATCGTGTTAATTTACGGGTACGAGCTGCAGGTGCCGCAGTGAGAAGAAACAATTTTACATGTAAATTCCCTGGACATGTGCATGGTGAGTGACAGTGCAGTTTATTCCTTTTAATCTAAGGCTGCCAATAATTTCTCAATAATGCCCCATGGCATTTTGAAGAAGTTCTTTTTGTCTGGCACAGTGTGACAGTGGCAGCCCCATACTGGCAGAGCAGCGCCTGAGCAACAGTTCCAGAGTACTGCAGCTAGACAGCCGTGTCTTTGAACTTGAGGAGGACCCATACACATTGTAAGTTGACTTAAATCTTGTTGCAATGTCTGTTTTCTGGTGTATTTGAATCAATCTGTAAAATTTAATCTGGTTTCACAGTTTTCTCTCTCCTGTTCAGTTCTTCAGAGAGAGGTGAATTTGGTTGTGCCGTGTACGCAGCACCATCCTGACAGGAGGTGCCACCATTGATCTTGAACAGGACTCAATCATGTTGTGAGTCAACTGAACAGTTTATTGATCATGAAGAGTTTTGTGACACTTGCTTGAAAAATATAATGGCATTGATAATAAACGTAAAGTTTTGTCCACCAGTGCTGTACAGGAAACCAAACCCTCTCTGTGTGTGACCGATCAGCGGAGAGAACTCCTGATCCAGGATTGGACAAGTTGTTGCTCACACAATGCTGGACCTTTAACCGGGATTTATTTGTCTTCAGCAGTCACATCATTTCTTTGTGTTCATCTGATGTTACAACCTCCTCTCCTCTCTGTACATCACAGAAGTCGACATACGCTGAAGAACTAGAAAAGTCCTGCAGATCTTGACTGTGGCTTCTTAGAAGCAAGCTCCGAGTCTACAGCAGAGAAGGGTTCTGACCTGGGGAGGAACAGCTCTGAACTTCACCAAGTATGTTTCATCTTCAAAATCTTTGACTTTTCCACACCACAACCAGCTGTGTAGGATTGGAGTTTGTCGTCTGTAACACTAGTGTAACTGTTGTCTTTCCTCTCAACTCATCACAGAACCAGCTCGACTAGAGCCACAGAGCCAAACCCAGCAACCAGCGACCCTGGAGCCATGTGATCTCTGCTGAGCTTAAAACTCTAAAATACTGCATGCTCAGCCGTCCTGGTAGGGGATCCCTCTAAGACCTGGCCTACCTAAAGGTTTCTTCCTCTTATCCTGTGAAAACTTTTTTGGGGGGAGTTTTTTCTGACATGCTTGGAGGGTCGAAAGGCTGATGGTGCCATATACCCCAGATTTTTTTTCTGATTCAATGTCAATAAAGAAACAAAATGAAATTCTGGAGTTTTAATTTACTCATATGAAAGAATGAATGAATGACACATGCTTACAATCACAACAATTTAAATGTGTGAAATATGAACGTTTGAGTCTGTTTAAATGAATAGAAAATTGTACGAAGGAGCAGTATGTGGCATGAATGGTCAGAAGGATTTATATTGTGGAAAACTAAAAGCTGAAGCCACTGCCTCATTGAAAAATAGGTCTGAAACTAGGCAAGTATGAATGTGGTGAAACAGTTGTCAGAATTTATGTAGAATGAGACATACATAGTGAGAATCATCGGAGAATTTGAGCTTTTAAAACGACACTAAGAAATTGTAATCGGTCCCTGGTGCTGTACTTTTGTGCGTCTCTAAAAAAAACAAGCTTTCATGTGTAGGACTCAGCCACAAAAACTTCACAGAGCAGGAAAGTGGTGAGAAGCAGCTTCCCAGCCAGCTGTGTGTCTCCAGGTGCTCTAATCGGTTGCCATGCTGAAGGTAAATAAATTGAAAGAAGGCTTGAAGAGGAAACAGCTGTCAAATTAAAAAAAGTTTTTAAGTGTGGAAAATTAAAATGAGAAAAATGAGAAAGGTTTGAATCCATTTAAATGAATTAAATTTTTTTGAAGAATTCAATAATGCATGAATAATGAGAATGATTTAAAAGTGGGGAACATTTTAATAGATAAAAATTAAAATGGAGCTGAATTTTTTTAGCAATATTAACGTGTGAAAATTAAAATGATTAAAAACCCTGAAGTATAGGAAAGGTTTGAAGAATCAGAAAGGTTTGAATCAGTTTAAATGAGTTGGAATTTGTTTTGAAGAATTGATTAATGCATGAATAGTGAAAATGATTTAAACAGGGAAAATAAAAGTGATTATAATCTGGAAATATGAGAGGATTTAAGAATCAGAAAGGTTTGAATGAGTTTAATTTCTTTGAAGAAGAATTGAATAAAGCATGAATATGAAGAATGATTTAAAAGTGGGGAACATTAAATAGTTACAAATCTTAAATACATCCCATAATGTGCTCATTGAGCTGAATTTCTGGAGCCCTGGATGGTTTCTGCAGAAATCGTCTATATACACAGAAGACGTCGGATATAAACGATTTCTGCCGACTTTGCAGAGTCAACTGCAGAATTAATGGCATTCTGAATGGACCGGGCTTTGAAAAGTCCCGCAGCATGTGTTAGACGTCACCACTACACATGGACCAATCAGGGGCTGCATTTCCCTGTTGTCCGGGTAACAGTGGAAACACGGTCTCTGATTGTCCCGGTTATTTTCTGATCAGGAATACACGCTCTCTATGGGCCGAAGTCCAGACTGTTGTGGGAAGGAACGACAAGCTGAACTGTGGGTAATGACCGAAAGAACAAGATCGCGGATACAAACGGCCAAAATAGGTTTCCTTCACAGGCTGGCCGGGCTTAGCCTTAGAGATAGGGTAAGGAGCTTGGACACTTGGGAGGTGCTTAGAGTAGAACCGCTGCTCCTCCACGTCGAGAGGAGCCAGCTGAGGTGGCTCGGGTTAGGATGCCTTCTGGACACCTCCCTTTAGAGGTGTTCTAGACATGTCCCACCGGGAGGAGACCTCGTGGCCGGCCCAGGACCAGGTCGAGGGATTATATCTCTCGCCTGGCCAGGGAGCGCCTGGGAATCCCCCCGGAGGAGCTGGTGGAAGTGGCCGGGGTGAGGGCCGTCTGGGCTTCCCTCCTGAAGCTGCTGCCCCTGCGACCCGGACCCGGATGAAACGGAAGAAAACGATGACTCACGTGGCAGCGACAAAATATGTGGTGATTTGAATGTATAATAAATGTTATTGGCAAAAAAATAAAGATTTATTTAAGAAATCAAACATTCACTTAATCTTCAATCAATGTTGAAACAATCCCATATCTCAAGCCGAAATTCTCATTTCAGGGACTCCACTTTTGGAAGAACACTAACAGACAAAAACTTTAAAAAATAATTATTGGTTTATCACAGGGTAAATACTGGTCCAACATACATGCAATAAATGATAAAATAATGGGAATAAATAATAGCAGAGGATTAAAGATTTTGAGTCATGCTAGGATTATTAAATTTAATGATTGTGAATATGCTCTAACATCTTAACTTCATTACTTTTGGTGTGGAGATAAATTTCTGTGTGGATTTGGATGAATTAAGGATTATCCGAATTAGTGATTGTTTGAATGCATGAGACAGCATCAGCCCCGTTTGAATCTCTGGAGGTTTGCATGCTTAAAGGGATATTCCAGTGTAAAATTAATTTAGGGTCAAACACACCGTAACACAGAGTTAGACATGCTCTTGAGAGATGAATGTTGCTGACCGCTTGCTTCTCTAGTCGTACTAACTTTAGTAACGACTGCAAGATAGCAATACACAGTGGTCTGAGAGGCCATGAACAAACCTCAACCAAAACGCCACTCTATAGCCATAAATAATGCTCAGAACAGCACCTAACTTCATCAACAGCACATATACACTCACCGGCCACTTTATTAGGTACACCATGCTAGTAACGGGTTGGACCCCCTTTTGCCTTCAGAACTGCCTAAATTCTTCGTGGCATAGATTCAACAAGGTGCTGGAAGCATTCCTCAGAGAGCTTGGTCCATATTGACATGATGGCATCACACAGTTGCCGCAGATTTGTCGGCTGCACATCCATGATGCGAATCTCCCGTTCCACCACATCCCAAAGATGCTCTATTGGATTGAGATCTGGTGACTGTGGAGGCCATTTGAGTACAGTGAACTCTTTGTCATGTTCAAGAAACCAGTCTGAGATGATTCCAGCTTTATGACATGGCGCATTATCCTGCTGAAAGTAGCCATCAGAAGTTGGGTACATTGTGGTCATAAAGGGATGGACATGGTCAGCAACAATGCTCAGGTAGGCTGTGGCGTTGCAACGATGCTCAATTGGTACCAAGGGGCCCAAAGAGTGCCAAGAAAATATTCCCCACACCATGACACCACCACCACCAGCCTGAACCGTTGATACAAGGCAGGATGGATCCATGCTTTCATGTTGTTGACGCCAAATTCTGACCCTACCATCAGAATGTCGCAGCAGAAATCAAGACTCATCAGACCAGGCAACGTTTTTCCAATCTTCTATTGTCCAATTTCGATGAGCTTGTGCAAATTGTAGCCTCAGTTTCCTGTTCTTAGCTGAAAGGAGTGGCACCCGGCGTGGTCTTCTGCTGCTGTAGCCCATCTGCCTCAAAGTTCGACGTACTGTGCGTTCAGAGATGCTCTTCTGCCTACCTTGGTTGTAACGGGTGGTTATTTGAGTCACTGTTGCCTTTCTATCAGCTCGAACCAGTCTGGCCATTCTCCTCTGACCTCTGGCATCAACAAGGCATTTCCGCCCACAGAACTGCCGCTCACTGGATATTTTTTCTTTTTCGGACCATTCTCTGTAAACCCTAGAGATGGTTGTGCGTGAAAATCCCAGTAGATCAGCAGTTTCTGAAATACTCAGACCAGCCCTTCTGGCACCAACAACCATGCCACGTTCAAAGTCACTCAAATCACCTTTCTTCCCCATACTGATGCTCGGTTTGAACTGCAGGAGATTGTCTTGACCATGTCTACATGCCTAAATGCACTAAGTTGCCGCCATGTGATTGGCTGATTAGAAATTAAGTGTTAACGAGCAGTTGGACAGGTGTACCTAATAAAGTGGCCGGTGAGTGTAGGGTCCCAGCCACAGAACTAGCCACCAAACATCTTTTTAGCTTTGCCTAATTTCTTTAGCAAAGAGACTAAACACAACTCACCTTTTCTCTTCCTGCAGCTGTTTGTTTGTAGTGAGACCTTAACCAGTCCATTACAGACTGCAGCGGGGTGACGCAGCTCAAAGAAAAACATTTCTTTATCATTTCCTTTAAGTAATAATCACCATATTCATCATTTTGCACTGCAGATGTGGTAGTTCTTCTGCCTTAGCGTCTCAGTCTGATTGCATTTCATTGAAGAAATCATCATAAATGTTCTTCCTTGATTTGCGTCACCCCGCAGTAGTTCGTAATGGACTGGCCTGAGGTCTTGCTACAAACAAGCGGCTGCTGGAAGAGAGTGGGGGAGTTGTGTTTAGTCTCTTTGCTGAAGAAATTAGGCAAAGCTAAAGAAACTAGCTTTTCTTTTTAAATTTTATTTATGTGTGAAAAGCATTGGTGTTCCTAAGGGTTTTCATACTTTGTGTGTATGTGTGTGAAATATGTTAAAATTCAATAAAGAACATTCAAATATAAAGAGAAAGATAAGAGACACCAGAGGAATAATACAGACCAGCTTGTACCCTAAGAGCATAAATAAACATGATTTCATAGTAGGTCCACATTTCTGTTTTTTAAACCCTTCATTGGTTTATTCATATGTTCTTTATTGATAGCACACATTTTGGCATTATCAATAAAGGAAACCGCATGAAAATCAGTTGAGAAATGAACAAGATATCTATTTTCCATGTAAGCCAAATGCCTTTGTGTGTTTGATGCTTCCAAGTCGCAAAAAACAATAGAATGAAACTTAACGCACATATTTTGATCTTTGATTTCTGTTTCAATTTACTGACTTCGACCAATTCCTATTCTGAGGTAAGAAGACTTTCAATAATACTGGAGTCAACTTTTTACCTGTGGTGTATTAAGACAGTTATTTTGTATTGAAGTGTTTTGTGTTGTTGTGTTTTCACATCCCGAATGCCCCGTGAAGATGTTTACGTGCACTTGCGCCGTGTTCTTGCTGAAGATGGCCGAGTAAAGTCATGAATGTGAATGTTAACGTCTCTTCAATTAATACACAACAACAGGTGACAAGGATAAAGTTAACATTTTCCTACGGGGAAGGTAAGACACTTAGTGTCGGTACTCGTGAGTACAATGGCCCTGTTCAGAAGAATTCATTGGTTTAAGCCAGAAAGTGAGCTGTGTTCAGCGTGCATTGAATGACTGGAACAGTTTTTTGAAGCTAACAATATAGCTGAAAAGAAGCAAGTAGCCACATTGCCAAGTGTGATGGGCACAAAGAAATATGGACTTTTGAGAAACTTGGTGCAGCCCAATAAGCTGAAAGACAAGACATTTGATGATATAGTGGCTATTCTGAAGAGCCATTTCAAGCCAAAACCAATATTAGTAGCAGAAAGGTTCTGTTTTAACCAATGTAACCAGAAGTCGGGCCAACCAGTAGCTCAGTATGTAGCAGAATTGAAGCAGTGTGCAGCCAACTGTGAGTTTGGTTCCAACCTGGATTCTGCCCTACGTGATCGGTTTGTCAGTGCGATAAAAAATAAGTCATGTCAGAGGAGACTACTCTCAGAAATTATCTCACTCTCAAGAACACACAAGTTCTTGAGATTGCATTGAACATGGAGACAGCCGACAGAGACACACGTCAGTTGACAGGCATGGAAAATGAAAGAGCCGGAGCGGCCAGTGTTCACATAGTGCCAGTGCAGAAACGAGACACAACCCTGTGTTTATCTGGTGATCAGTAAACCAGGCAGCTGAGACAGAGACTTACCCCTTACTAGGCCTGGGCGATCACGATATATTTTGTCATATCGTCCGATCTCAATTATTATCACAATTTTTTTTTTAACTTTCTGTTTTAAGAATAAGAATAAGAAGAACTTTATTAATCCCAGAAGGGAAATTCAATTGTCTGTTGTCTCACAGAAGATAATAATATATGTCTCCAAGAAAAGTTATCTACTATTTACACAAGAGTTATAAAGTCTAATGGCTGTTGATACAAAAGATCTTTTGAATCTTTTTGTCCTGCAGCCAAGGGAGAGGAGCCGTCCACCACCATTGGCCCTTTGGTCCATCAAGGTGTTGTGAAGTGGGTGATCCATGTTCTTTAGAATAGACTCCAAATTTCTCAGTGTAGATTTCTCCACCACATCCTCCACTGAGTCCAACTTGAGTCCAACCACAGAGCCGGCCCTTTTCACCAGTTTGTTAAGACGTCTTGCATCTTTGTGTCTGATGCTGCCTCCCCAGGGGCCTCATGTATCAACACTTGCGTGGGACTCATACCAGAAACGAGCGCACGCAAGGTCCGTCACGCTGAAAAAAATCTGTATGTATCAAGGTGTGCGGGCACCGAAAGCCACGTGTGTTTCCTTGATAAATCCCAATCAGCTTGGAATTGAGCGCAGATATCGGAGTGACCGGGCCCGCCCCCGTTACGCCCTCCTATAAATATGCAGATTTATTTAAATAGGGTCTCCCTGTCCTCGCACGCAGACAAAATGACAAGAAAAACTAAATTTACGGCGTGCGAGGTGGAGGTGCTGGTGGCGGAGGTGGAGGAGCGACAGCGTGTTTTGTTTGGCAGCCTGTCCAGTGGCGTCAGTGCAAAACGAAAATGCTTGGAGTGGGAGAAAGTTTGCGAGAGGGTGAACGCACCCCCGTGGAGATTTAAAAAAAGTGGTCGGACCTCAAGGTGGAGGTCAAGCGGCGTACAGCTGCCCTCCGGAGGAGTACCGGCCAGACAGGTGGGGGTCCGGGGGAGGAGACCCTCACGCCGTTTGAGCAGCGGGTGGTGGCGATTATTATTATAGGGTAAGTGGCGTGTCACACAAATGTCCACATGCTTTGCCATCCCACTGAGCAAAAGACGTATATTAGACGTCTAATCTAAGTTTATACTTCATTTCAACGTCGGGATTCAGTCTAGTTTTAAACGTGATTGATACTTCGCCTTTAACTTCATTTTTCGATAACTTTTTATGCAATAAACAACTGTAATGTGCATAACTGACCTCTAAATACTGGATTACATTACCTATGATACCGTGGAGAGAGATGTAAACGCAACAGATACACAGAAGCAGGAATTGAAATGAACCAATATTTTTATTGTGTCACAGAAATCAATGTGTCGGCCGTGTCGCCGGCTTGCGGAACCCCGGCCCGCGGCAGCCCGTCCGCCGGCTGGGAGTCGTCGGCCAGGACCAGCGGCATTTGGGCCACCCCGGCCCCAGCCCCAGCACCAGCATCAGCACCAGCGCGCCGACAAGCGGTGGAGCGTCCACCAGCCGCGGCGCTTCCGCTGGACCACACGGACGCAGTGGAAGGGTCCTCACGGAGGCGGTCCTGCAATCGCAGGAAGAAATCATCGGGGGGATCGCGGGGATCAACGAGCGGCTGGACCGGCTCGTAAATGTCCTCGAGCGTCTGGAGGCGAAAAATAAATTAATTTGGCTCATTGAACTGTGTATTCACTTCTTACCCATTCACACTGTGGCGATGAGATTCTCCCGCGCGAGGACGGCGGCCCGGCAGGGATCAGCTCGGATCCCTCCGTCTACAGCTGGTTTGTCATGTGGGGCGACGTGCTGCTCGGCCACGGGGATGTGGTGCACGCTTGTCACATAGTGAGTCACCAAACACCGCCACACAGCGTCGCCAAAGTGGCGTCAACGCAAGTATCGGCTCAACGCCAACTTCTACACCACCTCCTCACTTTGCGTTGATTAGCGCTGGAACCGATGCTCGTGTCGCAATGATAAATCTGGATGTGTGCGCCGATCTTGGCGGACGCAAGGTTTTCTGGCACCGCCAGCGTTGATACATGAGGCCCCAGCAGACTGCAGCATAGAACAGAACACTTGACACCACAGACTGATAAAACATCTGCAGCATCTTACTACAGATGTCTATTGATCGGAGTCTTCTCAGGCAAAAGAGGTGGCTCTGCCCCTTTCTGTAGATGAAGTCTATATTCTTAGACCAGTCCAACTTATTATCCAGATGTACACCTAGGTATTTATATGATGTCACCACTTCGATGTCCACTCCACAGGTGTTCACTGGCTGAAGAGGGGGTTTGGATCTTTAAGTATGGTGGGTTGGATGGTGCTGAATGCACTTAAAAAGTCGAAGAACATGATCCTCACATAAACCCCAGGTTCCTCCAGATGAGACAGGGCACGGTGAAGCATGTAGAGGACAGCATAATACACTCCAATGTGTTCCTAGTGTGCTAACTGCAGGGAATCCAGTTTGTCTTTGACCTCAGAACTTAGAAGGCGTAGAATCAGCCGCTCCAGGGTTTTCATGATGAGTGAAGTGAGGGCCATTGGTCGGTAGTCATTGAGTTCAGCAGGACATTTTGTTTTTGGTACTGGCACAATGCAGGATGTTTTCCACGGAGTAGTTACCCGCCCCAGCTGTAGACTCAGGTTGAAGATCCTGTGGAGAGGTTGACACAGTTCTGCCGCACAGTCTCCAAGCAGCCTTGGACACACACCATCTGGACCAGCTGCATTCCCAGGACAAAGTCTTCCAAGCTCCATCCTCACCCCTGTTTCGATGATAGACAAGGACTGGTGTTCTAAGAGGGAGGCAGTTGAAGTGGTTGAGACATTGAAATGAGATGGAGGAGGAACGGGAGAAGTTGTAGTGGAGATTTGTTTCGGAGAGGAAGGTGGAGTAGCAGTGGAAGTGGGTGTGACAGCAGTGTCAAATCTGTTGAAGAACAGGTTGAGTTCATCAGCTCTTTCCAGATCACCCACCACTGGCTGTCTTTTCTTTTTATTGCTGTGTCCAGGGATGGTACTGATTCCTCTCCACACTTCACGGATGTTGCTGTGTTGTAGATTCTTCTCTATCTTTTTTTGTACGCCAGCTTTGTTATCTTCAGTCTCCTATTCAACTCTTGTTGCACTTGTCTGAGTCGTTCTTTGTCTTTGTCTTTAAAAGCTTTCTTTCTCTGGTTAAGGATTGTTTTTATGTCTCTTGTGATCAAGGGTTTGTTGTTGGGGAAACAGCGAACAGTTTTTGTGGGTATAACTGTGTCTCTACAGAAGTTGACATAATCAGTAAAGCAGTCAACCTGTTTATTAATGTCCATACTATCCACATCTTTTTCCAGCAGCACATCCCAGTCTGTTGATTTAAAACAGTCTCTTAGAGCTTCACTGGCTTGAGGTGTCCATCTTCTTATTTTGACTTTGGTCACAGGCTGCCTCAGCACGCAAGGTCTGTAACAGGTTTGCAGATAGACCAAGTTATGATCTGACTTGCCCAGTGGTGTTAAGGCAGTGGCCCTGTAGGCTTCTTTAACATTGTCATACAGCAGATCCAGGGTTTTGTTTTCTGTGGTAGGACAGTTCACAAACTGTGTGAATCCAGTCAAGTGAGATGAGAGTGTGACATGGTTGAAGTCTCCCGTATTGTTATCAGTGCCTCAAGGTGTTGAGTCTGTAGCCTGGCAACACTATTTTGCAAAACATTGCACAAAATTTCTTCAGTTGATTTGGGTGAAATGTAGACAAATATTGTTATGATATGAGTAAATTCTCTTGGAACGTAATATGGCCGAAGAGCAACTGACAACAGTTCAATATCTGGACAACACAACTTCTCCTTGACAGTTATGTGTGAACGGTTACAGCATCGCTGGTTGACAAATAAAGCCAGACCTTCTCCTTTCTTCTTGCCACGAGCTGGAGCATTTCTGTCTGACCTTATGAGAGTGAAGCCAGGGGCCTGTTCTACGAAGCACGTTCGACCTAGCGAGGTAGCCTTGGAGGTACCTCGCTCAATGTAGCGCGGTAGCCAGTGGTCTTGCTAAATGGTTTTACGACGCTGGTTATCAACCTCGTAAATTGATCCGGCTTTGCTATGAGCGCGTGCACGCATGTAAGGCGGAGCCCGCCACACCTGACCAATCGCGAACATGGACCAGTTTGCAGTGTCAGAGAGCAGACCGGAGAGCGAAGGACCGCGGACTTTACAAACGAGGAGCAGGAGATGATCATGAGAAAGTATGAAGAATTCAAATCTATCATAAACCTCAAAAGCAACACCGTCACCGCTGCATTACAAGGGTTATTACAAGGGCCGTGCGCTGCGACTAAATAGTACCGAAATGTTGTCTGTGATCACACAGCCCATGCAGCCCATGCCCATTTATTTCCAAGATGAATTCATTTATTTGTTCATTCCTATCGTGTTTACATTTTTTGTGTGATATGTAGGCCATATGAGCCTTTCATAAAGGTGGTAAAGGAGCTGGAGTGCTTCTCGGACGATGCGAGCACCGAGGTCTATAGGATCCTCCAAGAACGGACAAGCCATTTTTCGAGAAAGCTCATTGGTCAGTGGGCGGGGTTTTTATACTCTGTGAGTTCAATCTGGAACTTAACCGTTTAGCGTATGTTGCCATGGAGACTCGCCTCGCTAAGAAGTGAACCCGCGTCGTAGAACAGGAAACCTCGAAGTTACCCTCGAAGTTACCTTGCTAAGCAGTAATCCTGCTTCGTAGAACAGGCCCCAGGTCGATCCACACTGGAGTCCAAGTTGTTTTGATTCAACCAGGTTTCAGTAAAACACAGGAAACTGCACTCACGGTATGCTTTCTCAGTCTTCACCAATATCTCCAGCTCATCCCTTTTGTTGGGCAGAGAGTTGACGTTTCCCATGATGATTATAGAAAGGGTTTATACCACCTCCTAGCATTCAGCTTTGCCTTCACCTTTGCACCAGCACGGCAACCAAGATAACACCTCCTTCTGTCCTCTGGAATTGTATGTTGTTGTCCAGATTTGCTTTTCCTCAATGAAAGGAGCTCTTCTCTTGAGTAAACTCTTCACCCAACAGTAGTATCCATCAGCAGCCAACAAAATGACAACAGAAAAATGAAAAAAAATCTAGCAAAAATTACAAAAATTATAGATAATGCAGAGAGAACAGACAGCAGCAACCTCTCGGTTCAAGTGCATCATTTGAATTTTAAAGCATCTGTACTAAAAACAAAAGAAACTAGAGATTAGTTCAACATTTTATGAACATACAAAGTAAATAAAGCAAATTGAATAAGATAAACTTAGAAAAATATATTCATTAAAAATATTTTAACTCAACAGCACAACAAATGCAGATAAGTACTAAATAATATAGTGAATTAGTTTACAGTCCTGAGTGTCGCTGCAAGACCCCTGCAAGAGATAATGAAGACCCCTAAAAATGTAAACATTAGATGATGTAAATGTAGATGATATGATTGATTGCTGCTTTCGTCTGGTGGCTGCACCGCTAGTTGTGGCTAAACTGCTAATGCAGCTTGTGCCATCAACAGTGACAGGCTGTGTGTACTCCACTCGCATTTTCATGCTTTCAGCATTAACTCTCGGGAAAGTACTTCTTCATATGATTGAACAGACCTGTTGTGTTGCTGGTTTTGGTGGGCGCCGATTGCGACATACCTTGCACATCAGCTTAAATGCTCGGCGTCACTCTGGAGATACCAGAACCACTGCCACACAACCGACGTTGAATAATTTCTCAACAATAACATCTTTGGAGAATAACTCAAAGTCACGGCTGACATCTATTTTGCTGCCCTCAGCACCACGTTTAGCTCCATTTTCGGTCATTCTGTTTACTTCTCCTGTTTACTTCTCTGACAATTTACAGAAGTGAGCAGGAAAACCTCGACTTTGATAGGCTGTAATGACGCACCCTTCTGCTATGTTTGATCGAGTAAATATGCTCACAGCTGATCACCGTGATGGAACTGAAATTTATCACGATCATATAATCGCTCAGTCCAACCTAGGGCTGGGTTTTCTCTTTTTCTCACTGACAGTGCTGTCGGCTTCACATGTTAAAGTGCTATGGTTGCGTGTAGCTGCAGCCTGCTTCTGCTGTTTAGTACTTGGTTCTAATTCAGCACGGTTGGTTCAGCGCAAAGCGGACCCGGAGCAACTCTCCTTTTATTGGCTATTGGTATAGTCTACCTAAACATGGCAGAATGCCGATTATTGAAAAGCATATTGACCAAGTTTTATATCTATATCAAGGGAAGTTAATTTTCGATATACACTCACCGGCCACTTTATTAGGTACACCATGCTAGTAACGGGTTGGACCCCCTTTTGCCTTCAGAACTGCCTAAATTCTTCGTGGCATAGATTCAACAAGGTGCTGGAAGCATTCCTCAGAGAGCTTGGTCCATATTGACATGATGGCATCACACAGTTGCCGCAGATTTGTCGGCTGCACATCCATGATGTGAATCTCCCGTTCCACCACATCCCAAAGATGCTCTATTGGATTGAGATCTGGTGACTGTGGAGGCCATTTGAGTACAGTGAACTCATTATCATGTTCAAGAAACCAGTCTGAGATGATTCCAGCTTTATGACATGGCGCATTATCCTGCTGAAAGTAGCCATCAGAAGTTGGGTACATTGTGGTCATAAAGGGATGGACATGGTCAGCAACAATACTCAGGTAGGCTGTGGCGTTGCAACGATGCTCAATTGGTACCAAGGGGCCCAAAGAGTGCCAAGAAAATATTCCCCACACCATGACACCACCACCACCAGCCTGAACCTTTGATACAAGGCAGGATGGATCCATGCTTTCATGTTGTTGACGCCAAATTCTGACCCTACCATCCGAATGTCGCAGCAGAAATCAAGACTCATCAGACCAGGCAACGTTTTTCCAATCTTCTATTGTCCAATTTCGATGAGCTTGTGCAAATTGTAGCCTCAGTTTCCTGTTCTTAGCTGAAAGGAGTGGCACCCGGCGTGGTCTTCTGCTGCTGTAGCCCATCTGCCTCAAAGTTTGACGTACTGTGTGTTCAGAGATGCTCTTCTGCCTACCTTGGTTGTAACGGGTGGTTATTTGAGTCACTGTTGCCTTTCTATCAGCTCGAACCAGTCTGGCCATTCTCCTCTGACCTCTGGCATCAACAAGGCATTTCCGCCCACAGAACTGCCGCTCACTGGATATTTTTTCTTTTTCGGACCATTCTCTGTAAACCCTAGAGATGGTTGTGCGTGAAAATCCCAGTAGATCAGCAGTTTCTGAAATACTCAGACCAGCCCTTCTGGCACCAACAACCATGCCACGTTCAAAGTCACTCAAATCACCTTTCTTCCCCATACTGATGCTCGGTTTGAACTGCAGGAGATTGTCTTGACCATGTCTACATGCCTAAATGCACTAAGTTGTCGCCATGTGATTGGCTGATTAGAAATTAAGTGTTAACGAGCAATTGGACAGGTGTACCTAATAAAGTGGCCGGTGAGTGTATATCGTTATCATTTTATCGCCCAGCCTTAGTCCTACCCCTTACCCTGTATAGAGGAGCTGTAAGCGACCCTTAGTGGAGGGAAGGTTTTCTCAAAGACTGACTTAGCGGCAGCTTATCAGCAGGTTTTACTTGATAAGGACTCCAAGAAGTACACAACCATCAACACCCACAGGGGACTGTTTGTGTACAACAGACTTCCTTTTAGGATTAATTCAGCCCCATCCATCTTCCAAGAGATAATGGAAAACGTAGAATAGAATAGAATATTCCTTTATTGATCCCCCATGGGGGAAATTTTTTTGTCACAGCAGCATCACAAAGAGTGCAAAAATGCAGTTATAAAAATAAAGATCCTAATATTAAGAACTTAAATAAATGTAATAATTAAGAAAAATTTCAGAAAAAGGAGAAAAGAAGAAGAAAAATAAAACTATCTACAATAAACACAATTTAAATGCCAGAAAAAAAGTGTTGGTGTGAGTCCAGTTATTATTACAGTTCGTTGTAAAGTCTTATCGCAGAGAGGAGGAATGACCTGCGGTAGTGCTCTGTCTTGCAAGGTGGAAGTCTCAGTCTGCTGCTGAAGGAGCTGTTTAAAGCCCCCACAATCTGGTGCAGTGGGTGAGAGGGATTGTCCATGAAGGGTACAAGCTTTGTTAACATCCTCCTCTCACCCACATCTTCCAGGGAGTCCAAAGAACAGTCCAGGACAGAACTGGCCCTCCTGACCAGTTTATTCAGTCTCTTCCTGTCCCTCTCAATGCTCCCTGCCCCCCAGCAGACTACTACATAGAAAAGTGCAGATGCTACCACAGAGTCATAGAAAGTCCTGAGCAGAGTCCTGCACACTCCAAAGGACCTCAGTCTCCTCAGCAGGTGGAGACAACTTTGGCCCTTCTTTTACAGGACGTCTGTGTTGGTTGACCAGTCCAGTTTATTGTTGAGGTGGACACCCAGGAATCTGTAGGACTCCACCACCTCAATGTCCAGACCCTGGATGTTCACTGGAACAGTCTGAGGTGTCCTCCTCCTGCGGAAATCCACAACCATCTCCTTTGTCTTACTGGCGTTGAGCTGGAGGTGGTTTGTGCCACACCAGTTGACAAAGTCACTGATGACAGTCCTGTATTCCCGCTCACCCCCTAACGATACACATCCGACGATGGCTGTGTCATCAGAGAACTTCTGGAGGTGACAGCTCCCAGAGTTGTAGCTGAAGTCCGAGGTGTACAGGGTGAAGAGGAAGGGGGAGAGCACTGTCCCCTGTGGAGCCCCCTGTGCTGCAGACCACAACGTCTGATACACAGTTCTGAAGCCTCACAAACTGTGGTCTGTCGGTGAGGTAGTCCACGGTCCATGCGGCTAGGTGACAGTCCACTCCCGCCCTCTCAAGCTTCCCCCTGAGCAGTGAAGGCTGGATGGTGTTGAAAGCACTGGAGAAGTAAAAAAACATGACCCTCACAGTGCTGACGGTGTTCTCCAAGTGAGCCATGGACCTCTGCAGCAGGTAGATGACTGCGTCGTCCACCCCAATGTTCGGCTGGTACACAAACTGCAGAGGATCCAGATGAGAGCTCACCAGGGGGTGGAGGTTCCTCAGCACGAGCCTCTCCAGAGTCTTCATCAGGTGAGAATTGAGAGCCACAGGTCTGAAGTGGTTGGGCTCCCTGGGGTGTGCTGTCTTGGGGACAGGAATCACGCAGGAAGTCTTCCACAGTGCTGGGACCCTCTCCAGACTCAGGCTCAAGCTGAAGATGTGCAGTAGCACCTCACAGAGCTGGGGTGGGGGTGGGGGGGGTGGAGGATGAGTGGAGGGGGGTTGATGATGCCGGTGCCATGGGACTGAGGTGGTGTGAAGAAGAAGCAGCAGATTTGGTTTGATGAGTTGGGGGAGGAGTGGGAGCAGAGTCAAATCTATTGAAGAACAGATTCAGTTCATTGGCCCACTCCCTGTCTCCTGCTTCAGGTCCCCTCTCATGGCCCCTGCTATGACCTGAGATGGATTTCAGGACTCTCCAGACCTCCCTTGCATTGTTCTGTTGCAGAAGGTTTTCCATCTTGGTCTTGTAGCTGGCCTTTCCCTCTCTGATCTTCTTCTTCAGCTCCTTCTGCACCCTCCTCAGCTCCTCCTTGTCCCCAGATTTAAAGACCCTCCTCTTCTCCTTCAGGAGGACTTTAAGTTCCGGCGTCACCCAAGGTTTGCTGTTGGAGAAACCCCGTACTTTCCTGGTGGGTATGGTATTCTTAACACAGAAGTTTATATAGTCCGTGATACAGTCTGTCATGGTGTCGATGTCATCACCATGTGGGCCGAACAGTACCTCGCAGTCTGTGGTCTCAAAACAGTCCTGCAATGCCTCAGTGGCCACCTCAGACCACCTCTTAACATACCTGATGGTGGGGGGTTGTTTCTTCACCATAGGTATGTAAATGGGCTGCAGTCTCACCAGGTTGTGATCTGAGCAGCCCAGCGGGGGAGGGGGAGGAGGTGATTGCATCCTTGGTGTTTGCATACCGTAAGTCCAAAGTTTCATTGTCTCTTGTTGGGCAGTTTACATACTGGCTGAAGGTAGGAAGAGTGGAGGAGAGTGATGCATGATTAAAGTCTCCAGAGATGATGATCAGAGACTGAGGGTGTGATGTTTGTAGCTTAGACACTTCACTATGGAGGAGTTCACAGGCTGCAGCAGCATCAGCCAAGGGGGGGATGTAAACAGTTAATGCGATGACGTGCGAAAACTCCCTCGGCAGGTAATATGGCCGCAAACTCACAGCCAGCAGCTCAATGTCCTTAGAGCAGCGCTGCTCTTTAACACTGACGTGCCCAGCATTACACCATCTCTCATTCACATACACCGCTGTCCCGCCTCCTTTCTTCTTATGATGTATCCAATGTGAAGCGCTTTGAGGGTCTCTAATAAAGCGCTATATGAAATCTGATGCATTATTATTATTATAATTAATGTCCCCGATTTGCCCGATGCTGAACTCCAGCCCTGCATCCTCTCCTTCTCCTGTGGAGCTTGGCGGGGATGTCCAGTCTGTCCAACGAAGGTGGCCAGGCTTGGCGCAGTTGTTCACGGCTGTAAACAATGGGGCCGCTGAACGGGTAGCTGGACGCGGACTTAAAAACTCCGAAAAGTAAAAGAAAACAAAGTGCCAGAGTCATGAAATGCACATCCATGGTTGGAATATGCAAGACACAACACTGCTAAGTAAAAAAAAAGACAAATAAGGTGCAAAAGACAACAATGAGAAGGCAAAAACGTAAAGTCTGTGAGGAGCTGCTGTGACTTGCTCCCACTCTCAGGGCGCTCAATCACTTAAACATGATAAAAGACTTACCAGTGGTTGTCTCCCTCGATGACTTGCTGGTCACTGGGAACTCAGAGGAAACTCTTCTCAGCAACCTGCAGATGGTTCTGCAACAACTGCAGGAAAATGGGCTACGTGTGAAATGTTCAAAGTGTGAATTTGGTAAGACCATAATCGAGCACTTGGGTCATATACTGGATAAATATGGCGTCCATCCTGCCAAGGACAAAGTGAGAGCATTTTACTTTAGTGACTGACCATCGCCCTCTTGTGGCACTGTTTTGAGAACACAAAGGTCTACCTACACATGCTGCTGCATGGATTCAGCAGTGGGCAATTACATTGTCAGCTTATGACTACCACATTGTACATCGCAAGTCAAAAGAGCACGGCCATGCAGATGGACTTTCCTGACGCCCCCTGCCTGATACCAGCGACAAAGGAACATCTGAAACCACAGCACCAGTGAATGTGCTGTTAGAAGGGCATCTTCGAGAGGCTCCCCCAAATGCTATACAAGTTGCTAGGGCAACACACACAGACAACGTGCTGGCCAGAGTGTACAGGTATGTCATGGAAGGCTGGCCCAACACTTAAAAGTATTTTTCACATAGAGAAGCGAGCTTTCCACGGATCAAGGCTGTGTCCTGTGGGGGACCAGGGTCATCATACCTTCAAAGTTGATAGGTGAAGTGTGGAAGGAGGTCCACTCGGGGCACCAAGGTAATGTAAAAACCAAAGCCTTAAATGTGTATGGAGGCCTAACCTTGACATGGAGGTTGAGAAGATCTGCAGGAAATGCTAAACTTTCCAGCTGGACCAAAAATTCCACAACATGCCCCACTACAACTTAGAATCTGTCTGTCTGTCTGTCTGTCTACATCCATGGGAATTTCCAGGAGAGCACTGGAAAAGACTGCACATTGACATTGCTGGACCTTTTCTGAATAACATGTTCATGAAAGTGGTTGACGCCCATTCTAAATGGTTGGAAGTGTGTCATATGTCACAAATCACTCTTCGGAGCACTGTGGGGGGACACCACAAATGGATTCCAGAAAAAGTGGTGAGACAGACTGGACTGAGGGACTCAGACACAGTGCACCAAAGACATGGAGATTAGTTGCGGACTCAGGCCATGGCTGTGCCAGACTCTGACATCTTTAAAGCCTTACATGGACAGGATGATGACAAAGACTGAAGTGGAGAAAAAGAAACTATGGACTCAACCAGGGTGTTACCAGAGGTGATTGAGTCTGAACCATTTGCCTTGAGGCACTCACAGCATGAGATTCAACCAACCATAAGATACAGGACAAAGGGGGTGGACTGTAGACCCACTGGTTCAATCTTGAATTGAGTTTTGTTAGAAAAAATAAAAATGGTATGCAGACCAAATCATCCTCACATAACAACGTGTTGGGGATTGATAATATTTGTGTGTTTTCAAAACAATTTGGTTCTGCTGGAAGGAAGATATTGTGTTAAATTTATTTTTGGTGTATTGGGTTTACAATGTTATTCTACAGGTAGTGTTAAACATAGTTGCTCTTAGTATAACTTGCCAAACTGACGGAAAACAGAGCTCAGCTAGCTTACCGTATATCAGCTGAGCTAGTGAGCGTTGGCTCTTTTTACAGACATTGGAGTTAGTCACGGTCTCTGTGGCAGGCCACCACAAGCCGGACAGCCTTGGCTCAGGGCTGTGGCAGAGGCAGAAACCAGGAAGAGATCAATGAAGAGATCAGGGTCCCTGTGCTTTGGCACTGGAGGATCTTACCCGTGTGGAGAGCATCAAGCTCAGAGACTGGCAGATGATAAGGTATGCATGACTAATGTGATTGTTTCAGACATAAAATGAAGTAGATTTTAAAAATTAAATCAAATTTCTACATATAAGATTTTAGTGAGTTTTCTGATTTTGTGGATGGACAGGCTGGCTAGAAGGGTCTGGGACAACATTGGAGCTACTGCAGACTGCCCTGACCCTGGAGAAGGCAACAAGTTGTCCTGATTTGCCACATTTAGACAGTTTGTGATCTGTCAATATGGAGCATAGGGGTTCAGAATAGTGATTACCAGTTCTTATGTCTGAAGAATATCAAAGTGCTTTTTCAAAATGCTATTTATTTTTATGTAAATGCTGTTTTATACATGTGTTTTTTCATTATACTATTGTTGTTATAAAATTGTTTTCTAAAAAATCGGAAAAGCCACTCGTGTTTCATTACCAATCACATCACTAAAAACTGCACAACTTCACATCAGTGTCAGCAGTAGTAATGGTGCATAAAAGATGAAACACGAGATGAAATATAACATTCATTTATTGAAAAATTAGCGTCCAAACAATAAGTCCTCTTGGTCAGATGTACATCTTGTGGGGCCTTTATGGTGTACAAACTCCTTGCTCTAGACTCTCTGTTATACAGACTACCAGCAAACACAATGTTTGCAGGACCTCCACAACTAAAATAAAGTGACATACTCCAGGACCCGAGGTAAACAGTTTAGCGGCACAACAACATGCAGCAGGTCTTGTTTCACAATAAACACTTCTGTTCAGACACTTGATTTACTTTGTTAAAATGGGGCCCTGTCAAAGTAAATATAAATAGCACCAGTGCTAATGTAGCAGCATGCTAACAGGCTACCTATGAACGCAATGCTTTTGGCTACTCTGCGACTAAAACGCAACACATTGCAGGACACAAGGTAAAATAAACTTGGCCGTTTACCTGTCCAGCAGAAAGGTTACAGGGTCTGTAAGATCTTGAAGCATTACCCATCGATCAAGCGTCACTGATGTAGACCCAGCTTTTCCCCTCTTGTCCGCGTGGTCTACCTCCTTTGTGCCCGTTGTTCCGCCAGAGTTTCTGGTATTTACTTAGTTTTCTTGCTTGTGTAGGCACGTGATGTCAAAAGAGGATTCAAACATTTTTCCGTACTTTCTAGCTGGTTTCTACTGTCTGTTATAACTTTGTTTGGGCTCGTGCACGCTATTCGAGGACATGGAGCATGCCTCACAACCGATCAGCATTAAGGAGGAGCATCTGCCTCACAGCCAACCAGGCTGGAGGTGCAGAACGGCTTTGTTTACAGTCAGAATGAGCAGATTGCTGTTAGGTTTTAAAATGTTGACTACACAGGCATAAGAGAACACAGCAATACTGTGATATTCCCAAATGTCATCAATAACTAATAGCTACTTACTGATAATAAAAGCTTTTTTGTATATACACCACAAAAAAAGATGGATCTATAACAGATACCTGCCTATCCCACCTTTAAGTGTAATAAACTTATTTACCAGAGTCTCCCTCATTAACACACCTGTCTGACCAAAACAGCCCTTCTCATCCTCACCAATTTACAGCTTTCACAGCAGCTCATTACACCACAGCACTGTTTAATGGAGATCTGACATAAAAGAATGGAGGAAAAAATGTCTTACCTTCACTCTGGTATCCAAAACAGTCAGCATCAGTCATCTAGCTCCAACAGGTTAACACTTCCGGGACCTTTAGATTTTCCTCCCTCTAAAGTCCCTCGTGGCTGTTAAAAGCCACTTTTTCTGTCGGCTGTAAAATCTTATTGGATTAATATTTTTTTCTGATTTTTTTTCACAAATTTCTTATTTTACTTCTGCCCTGTTCGAAACTAGCAAATGTTTCATTGAAAACAAATTTTTTTTTAACCCTTTAAGTGCCAATTTAAGACAAAAAGTCACAAATTTAGCAAAAATTGAAGGAAAATGACCCTTTTTTTTTATAAGGCATGATCAGAAACTGGTAATCTCTTGCAGGGTATTAAAGTCTTGAATATGTCAGAGATTAGTAATATAATTTACTTATATGCATTTTCAGTTTTTCTGTAACATCAGATTTAATGAAAAACTGCCTTTGGCGCCTCCCAGTGGCCAAAACCACTATTTCTACTGTAAAATCATATTGGATTAATATTTTTTTCAGATTTTTTTTAATACATTTCTTATTTTACTTCTGCCCTGTTCAAAACTAGCAAATGTTTCATTGAAAATAAAAATTTTAACCCTTTAAGGGCCAATTTAAGACATAAAGTCACTTAAAAAGCAAAAAAATGGAAGGAAAATGAAGGAAAATGACCCATTTTTTAAATAAAACATGATCAAAAACTGGTAATCTCTTGCAGGGTATTAAAGTCTTGAATATGTCAGAGATTAGTAATATAATTTACTTATATGCATTTTCAGTTTTTCTGTAGCATCAGATTTGATGAAAAACTGCCTTTGGCGCCTCCCAGTGGCCAAAGCTACTTTGTCTGCTGTAAAATCATATTGGATTAATATTTTTTTCAGATTTTTTTTCATACATTTCTTATTTTACTTCTGCCCTGTTCAAAACTATCAAATGTTTCATTAAAAAAATTTTTTTTAACCCTTTAACGGCCAATTTAAGACATAAAGTCTCTTATGAAGCAAAAAAATGGAAGGAAAATGACCTCTTTGCTTCATAAGAGACTTTATGTCTTAAATTGGCCCTTAAAGGGTTAAGTTTTTTATTTTCAAAGAAACGTTTGCTAGTTTTGAACAGGGTAGAAGTAAAATAAGAGATGTATGAAAAAAAATCAGAAAAAAATATTAATCCAAAATGATTTTACAGCAGACAAAGTAGTTTTGGCCACTGGGAGGCGCCAAAGGCAGTTTTTCATTAAATCTGATGCTACAGAAAAACTGAAAATGCATATAAGTAAATTATATTACTAATCTCTGACATATTCAAGACTTTAATACCCTGCAAGAGATTACCAGTTTCTGATCATGTTTTATTAAAAAAATGGGTCATTTTCCTTCAATTTTTGCTAAATTTGTGACTTTTTGTCTTAAATTGGCACTTAAAGGGTTAAAAAAAAAATTTTTAATGAAACATTTGCTAGTTTCGAACAGGGCAGAAGTAAAATAAGAGATTTGTGAAAAAAAATCAGAAAAAAATATTAATCCAATATGATTTTACAGCCGACAAAACAAGTGGCTTTCAACAGCCACGAGGGACTTTAAAGGGAGTTTTTCTGTCCTGGCTTTATTATTGACCTGGTGAAAATTTTGAATCCATGTTTTCAAATAAAATGTCAAATTAAGCTTAGAAAAAAAAATTCATCAAATTTGCTGCAGTAAAAAAAAAGTTATATCCAAATTAGTCTCTAGTTCTATCATAAATTGGCTGTCAAAAGCCCGAAGGTTCCGGAAGGGTTTTAATAACCCACCTGTATTATTCCTGTTTACATCCCGTTCCTCACGGTCAGTGTTTCATCCATTTGCATTGTGTGCAAAAACAAAAAAGTTTTTAGTGCTTTTTCTGTTCGGCAGGCTTAGGCGTTTACTCCTGGTCTTCTTCAACTGGGACATGGACCACTTCAAGGTTTGGACACAATTGCTGCGTCCGAATTGCCCGCTCGGATACTACATGCTACTGCTACATACTACTGCTAGATCCTACTCCTACATACTAAGCACGTTGGCCCAATTCGGACACACTAAACGAGCGGTGGGGAAAGACGACCCCCGCAGGCAGAGAGTAGGTACTGCGCCCGTTTTAGACTCTGAATGGTAATTGTGCAAGTGATGGATGCTGCTGTATTATATTCCTGCACCGCTTTAGAAAGTCACAAAGTAGCTTTTCCATGACTTTTAGCCTTCATTCATTCACGTGGTGATCGTTTGTTCAATGAGATCTGCCTGATTACTGCAGCTGTGCAGTTTAATGATGGAATAAGTGAGCTTCACCTCCATGATGTCTCCACATATTTGCTCATAAAATGATTACTTGGGCAAATATGACACCATGACATGACAAAGGGATACAACCGCACATTTTTAGGACAGTGTGTGAAGTTACATTAAATCTACAACTGTACTGCTGTGGTCCTGCCTGCTGCTGCTGCTGCTGCTGCTCCGACATGGTGCGCGCTGCTGTGGCCAGCCGGCGTTCGCGACACATTTAAATAGGCAGAGCAGCTGGTGGCGCTAGCATCACATGCGCTTCTACAACTTCTACAGGACGAAGAAGAAGCCCACAGTGCATTTTGGGTCAGTAGCATGCCCGTAAGATGCACCGAGACCAACCTACAATGTGGGCGTGTCTAGTATCTGAAGTAGTATCTGAAGTAGCATGCTACTTGCTCCGGTGGCCAATTCGGACATGCTAGATACTACTTCGACTACTACTTCGACTACTACTTAGCAATTCGGACGCAGCTAATGAGGTAGTCATGGCCTGTCTGGACCTGTGGTCTGGACTTGGTACCAAGTCCAGGCACCAGGGGCCTTATGTATCAACACTTGTGTGGAACTCATACCAGAAACGTGCCCACGCAAGGTCCGTCACGCTGAAAAAAATCCGTATGTATCAATGTGTGCGGGCGCCGAAATCCACGTGTGTTTCCTTGATAAATCCCAATCAGCGTGGAATTGAGCGCAGATGTCCGAGTGACTGGGCCCGTCCCCGTTACGCCCTTCTATAAATATGCAGATTTATTTAAATAGGGTCTCCCTGTCCTCGCACGCAGACAAAATGACAAGAAAAACTAAATTTACGGCGTGCAAGGTGGAGGTGCTGGTGGCGGAGGTGGAGGAGTGACAGCGTGTTTTGTTTGGCAGCCTGTCCAACGGCGTCAGTGCAAAACAAAAACGCTTGGAGTGGGAGAAAGTTTGCGAGAGGGTGAACGCAGTGGGTTCCGAGACACGCACTCCCGCGCAGATTAAAAAAAAGTGGTCGGACCTCAAGGTGGAGGTCAAGCGGCGTACAGCTGCCCTCCGGAGGAGTACTGGCCAGACAGGTGGGGGTCCGGGGGAGGAGACCCTCTCACCGTTTGAGCATTGGGTGGTGGCGATTATTATTATAGGGTAAGTGGCGTGTCACACAAATGTCCACATGCTTTGTCATCCCACTGAGCAAAAGACGTATATTAGACGTCTAGTCTAAGTTTATACTTCATCTCAACGTCGGGATTCAGTCTATTTTTAGACGTGATTTATACTTCGCCCTTAACTTCATTTTTCGATAACTTTTTATGCAATAAACAACTGTAATGTGCATAACTGACCTCTAAATACTGGATTACATTACTTATGATACCGTGGAGAGAGATGTAAACGCAACAGATACACAGAAGCAGGAATTGAAATGAACCAATATTTTTATTGTGTCACAGAAATCAATGTGTCGGCCGTGTCGCCGGCTTGCGGAACCCTGGCCCGCGGCAGCCCGTCCGCCGGCTGGGAGTCGTCGGCCAGGACCAGCGGCATTCGGGCCACCCCGGCCCCAGCACCAGCACCAGCACCAGCATCAGCAGCAGCGCGCCGACAAGCGGTGGAGCGTCCACCAGCCGCGGCGCTTCCGCTGGACCACACGGACGCAATGGAAGGGTCCTCACGGAGGGAGTCCTGCAATCGTAGGAAGAAATCATCAGGGGGATCGCGGGGATCAACGAGCGGCTGGACCGGCTCGTAAATGTCCTCGAGCGTCTGGTGGCGAAAATAAATTAATTTGGCTCATTGAACTGTGTATTCACTTCTTACCCATTCACACTGTGGCGATGAGATTCTCCCGCTCGAGGACGGTGGCCCGCCAGGGATCAGCTCGCATCCCTCCGTCTGCTGCTGGTTCGTGATGTGGGGTGACGTGCTTGTCACATAGTGAGTCACATAGTGAGTCACCAAACACCGCCACACAGCGTCGCCAAAGTGCGAATCACAGTCAACGCAAGTATCGGCTCAACGCCAACTTCTACACCACCTCCTAACTTTGCGTTGATTAGCGCTGGAACCGACGCTCGTTTCGCGATGATAAATCTGGACGTGTGCGCCGATTTTGGCGTACGCAAGGTTTTCTTGCGCCGCAAGCGTTGCTACATAAGGCCCCAGGACACCTGGTCCAGAGATGCTCCTCCTGTAGGCTTCTATCAGGACACCTGCTTAAACTCTTTTCACACAATGCAAATGGATGAAACGCACTGATAGCTAGGAAAGCCTGAAAGTGCCCCCACCACCACCACCACTTGCCCCCTGCTTCCTGTGTGACTGGAGGAGGGTGTCTGTGCCCCCCTTTTTGAGAACCACTGATCTAGAATATATACAGTTGTGCTCATAAGTTTACATTCCCTGGCAGAATCTACGATTATTTGGCCATTTTTCAGAGAACATGACTGATAACACAAAAACTCTTTATCCACTCATGCTTAGTGGTTGGGTGAAACCATTTACTGTCAAACGATTGTGTTTTCTCGTTTTAAATCATAATGACAACAAAAATTACCCAAATGACCCTGAACAAAAGTTCACATACCCTGGCAGACAGACTCTTGCATCTTTCATCCAGCCACTGACGTTTCTGGATTCTGAGTCATGGGGAAAGCAAAAGAATAGTCAACAGATCTACGGGAAAAGGTAGTTGAACTGTATAAAACAGGAAAGGGATACAAAAAGATATCCAAGGAATTGCTATTGCCAGGCACAATAAGGAGGAACTTGAACAAAAATGGGTTGCATGGTCGAGTCGCCAGAAGAAAGCCATTACTGCGCAAATGCCACAAAGTATGTCGCCTACAATACACTAAACAGCACAGAGACAAGCCTCAAAACTTCTGGAACAAGGTAATTTGGAGTGATGAGGCCAAAATTGAACTTTCTGGCCACAACCATAAATGTTTCGTTTGGAGAGGTGTCAACAAGGCATATAATGAAAGGAACACCATTCCTTCTGTATAGCACGGAGGTGGATCACTGATGTTTTGGGGATGTGTGCGCTACAAAGGCACAGGAAACTTGGTCAAAGTTGAAGGAAAGATGAATGCAGCACATTATCCGCAAATACTGGAGGAAGAATTGCACTCATCACCCCGGAAGCTGCGCATGGGACGTACTTGGACGTTCCAACATGACAATGATCCAAAACTCAAGGCCAAGTCGACCTGTCATTGGCTACAGCAGAACAGAGTGAAGGTTCTGGAGTGGCCATCTCAGTCTCCTGATCTCAATATCATTGAGCCACTCTGGGGAGATCTGAAGTGTGCAGTTCATGCAAGACAGCCCAGTAATTTACAGGAACTGGAGGCTTTTTGCCAAGAGAGATGAGCAGCTTCACCATCTGAGAAAATAAAGAGTCTCATCCACAACTACCACAAAAGACTTCAAGCTGTCATTGATGTTAGACGGGGCAATACATGGTATTAAGAACTGGGGTATGTAAACTTTTGATCAGGGTCATTTGGGTGTCTTTTGTTGTCATAATGATTTAAAAATAGAAAACACAGTTGTTTATCAGTAAATGGTTTCACCCAACCACTGACCACGAGTGGAAAAAGAGCTTTTGTGTTATCATTCATATTCTCTGAAAAAAGGTCAAGAAAGCAAAAATTGTGCCGGGGTATGTAAACTTTTGAGCACAACTGTATAAGTTTCACTTTTTGATTTATGTGAACTTCTTGGGAACATCTCTCTTTTCTAGCTGCATAATACATAACATGCCAGTAAAGTGGCATAAAGTTTTATGGTTTAAAAAGTTAAAGATTGACAAAATGCTATTGTAGTTCTCTGTTTTGGCTGTAGGGGGGAGTAGTGAACCACTTATCTAAAAAGGCACAGTATTTCACAAAATCAAACTCACTGTATCGTCTGTGTTACATTCCAAATTTATTGTTGCATCATACATAAAACACCTGATAGAAATGTAAGAACAACTGTAAGACACAAGATCAGTGTAAATCAAGAGTTCAACAATATTGTATAGAATGCCACATTCATACACTCAGTCGTGCATCAAAGAGGGACAATAACACTTTAAACAGCAAAACCTTCACATGTGCCAGACCTCAAAGTTTCAAATGTAAACACATTTCAATTAGAAAACAGGCCAGAGGAATACAGAGATATAAATACTGTTCATCAACATATTGCATCATGCAACAACAAGGAACAACCACTTTAACAACACGATGCAATTTTGTATTTTCACAGTTGTATTAAAGAGTGCTATAGTAATGTTATCCGTGCATTGCTGACTAGCAAACAGAGCTGAGCATGTTGATTGCGTGTTCTGCTGTAACAGACCAACAAAAAAAGGGTTGGTTTTTTACTGTTTGCTTCAGTTCAATGGTGGATTTTTACTCAGAAGCAATGAAACTTTGTCTTCCAGATACTGTGTCTAAAAGCCAAAAGTCAAACAGTAGTTTCTGTTTTCATAGCATTGTTCGTAATGAAGGTAAGTCAGGGAGGACTTGACTGCTTGTATGAAGCTGCTCATAGATGCAAGCAAATCTAAAGAGTTTACTTAGCAGACCATGCAAACACCATACCATAAGTCCAGCCCCTACTGGATCTTATCTATTTGGCAGTGACTGCAAATGGATCCCAATCAAAGTCCTGATCAAAAAATCTAAAAGTAGATGAAATAATAAGCTCCAAGCTGCTCAAAGTCTATATTTATAGTACATAATCTAATGGATTCTTGTCACAGTGCGACAAATGTTCTTTTGAAAGGGGTAAAAAGTCATTCTCTGTCAGTTTTAGTAAACAGTAAATTAACACCATGAAGGGTGCACCACTCACCGGAATAACTGTAAAATATCCCAGAGTCTCATCCAGTCTGAGTAGTTAATTTCACAGATATTTATCAGCAGTAATATCTGATGTTTGTGTTTTGCAGTGATGGGCACCATGCTACCACAGAAAGAAGCGTGTATGTTTGAATGTCTATCAAACATACGTCTATCAGGTGAACATGAATAGTTTCACTGTTTTTCAGCAGTTTGGATAGTCCTCATGCATGTTGTCATGCAAACTAGATCTGTATAAAGGAATACAAATAGTTTCTATAATACAATACAGGATCATGCAATATGCGTGATTCATTTGACTATGAGCAGCCCCAGATGGTGTTTTACTGTTAATCATCACAATGAAGTCACAAAGCTATGCATATGTTTTTGTAAATGTCAAGGGGAAAATGAAGCACCTTTAAGGTTGGTTTAACACTTTGGACTTTGTTTCCTGTCTCAGTAGATTCGAACACTTCTTATTGTCAGACAGGAGTAACGGATTGTGAAAAAAGGTTTCTATAGAGTCACATTTGAACTTCCCCTGTGACATGTCTAAGGCTTAGACTAAACACCCTATGGGTTATGACCAGAAATGATATCCAAACTGATCCCAACTTAAACCTATCATTAAATTAAAAGAGCAGTATAGTATACAGCCAATTAATTCAGGAGATACAGCCAAACTATAAATCTACCAAACCCTCAAGGCACTCTGTCAAGATCCTATCCCTTAGTGAAACACTTGCTGTGACTGTTGTAAAAAAAAATCTCAAAATACTGAGTTACTGGTATTCAAAATGGAAACCAAATCATAAGAGCAGAACAGCAGAACAACCTTAGGGAAGTGTGGGATGGAATGAAGACCATCACTGGCTGTGGTTCCAAGAGGGGTGGAGGAGGGGAGGGGGGCACACAAAGAGCAAACCAATTTAACATCTTCTTCAACCACTTTGACTGCCCCATCCCCAGTCCTGCTGCTACATTGGTAGACATTAACATTAACAACCCCCCTCAATAACAGACTCTGTAGCAACTCCTGCTGCATCATCTGAGGCCACAAGTCCGCCACGCACTGGACCCCCTCCAGTTCGCATATCAGGAGAAGGTTGGGGTGGACAACGCCATTGTCTACCTTCTCTACCGGTCTCTCTC